ACTTTGCGCAGTTCAGGGAATTCTTCCAACTGCTCAAATACCGCCGAGACATCAAAGATCTGTACGATCGTCTGGTTACGGATGACGTACAAGGGATGACCCTGGAAAACTTTCTCGACTTCGTCCAGTATACGCAGCGCGAAAACGTACAAAGGAACACGGATTACTGGGTTTCTATTTTTGAAAAGTTCGTCCGCAAGGCTCGACTGCGTTCGCAGAGCCAGTCGGACTCACCCCTTCCTGACGATTCACCTATACGCATGAGCTTAGATGCCTTCTCTGCGTTCCTGATATCATCCTCGAACGGGATCTACCCTGCACATGTCCCCGAGCCAAAATTTGATTACCCACTCAACGACTACTTCATTTCAAGTTCACACAACACATATCTTCTGGGAAGACAAGTCGCTGGTTTCTCCAGTACGGAAGCGTATGTTACTGCGCTTCAAAAGGGCTGTCGATGTGTTGAAGTCGATTGCTGGGATGGTGCTGATGGTCGCCCAATTGTCTCACATGGGAGAACGATGACTACCAGCGTCCTTTTCGCGGATTGTATCTCTGTCATCAACAAATATGCCTTCCTGTCATCCGACTACCCTCTCATCATCTCTCTCGAGGTCCACTGCAACCCAGAGCAACAACTCGCTATGACTAACATCATCAAAGATACCTTCAAGGAGAAATTAGTCCTTGAGACACTGGGGGATGACTGGCCTGTGCTGCCCAGCCCTGAGGCCCTGAAACATCGCGTTCTTATCAAAGTCAAGACCTCCGAGGAAATAATCGATACCGGCCCGGCTACTACTGTACCACCAGGACTCGTCAGCGCCGGGCGCAAGCGTAGCTCAAGTTCCCCCTTCATGCCCCCGACCGTCCTGGAAGACCCTCCTCACAGCCTCCCCCCTCTCTCCTCGCCACCCACAATCAACTCAGCCAATGAACCTGTGCCTCCTCCTCTGGGCAGACGTGCCTTTACAGCAACAAGCGTCTGCAGCACCTCTGAAGAAAGCGACATCGGCCAGAGTTCAGCTGCGATCCAGAAAGAGAAGAAACGAGCTCAAAAGAGCAGAATCGTCAAGGATCTTGCAGATCTAGGCGTTTATACCCGTGGGTATAAGTTCCATAGTTTCAACTCCGCCGAAAGCAAACGTTTCAACCACGTCTATTCCTTCGCCGAGCGAGCATTCGAAGGCATTTGTCGAGACTCAGAAAGTAAAGCTCTTCTCGAGGCACATAATAGACGTTTCTTGACTCGGGTATATCCTTCCGGCTTCCGTGTTCGATCATCAAACTTCGATCCAAACATCTTCTGGCGTCGTAGCGTTCAAATGGTTGCTTTGAACTGGCAGACATATGATGTCGGAATGCAAATGAACCAAGCCATGTTTGCATCCGGGACCGACCGCACCGGATATGTTCTCAAGCCAGAAAGCTTGCGATTACCGCCACCTTCATGGAAGGGTCCAGGCCTAAAGCCAAAAGTCGATAGGAAACTTGTCCGGTTCTCTATAGACGTGATCTCCGCCCAGCAATTACCTCGACCGAAGCAAATCGGCCTCGACGAAAATATCAATCCATACGTCGAGATCGAGGTTTTCAGCGCTGACGACAAGACTAAGGGCCTCGCATTCGGTGAAGGTGGAATGGATACGTCTGATCGTAACGGTCTATCTGGCATCGGTCACCCTCACCGTCGCCGAACAGGTATCGAGCAAGGAAATGCCTATAACCCCATCTTCAACGACCAGTTCAAGTTCTCCCTGGAAACCAAATACCCGGATCTCGTCTTTGTGCGCTGGGTTGTCTGGCACTCTCCTGATGGCAGAAGCGTCGGCAACAACAGCACCCAACTAGCTACCTTCACCGCGAAGCTGAGCAGCTTGGCCCAAGGGTTCCGTTACCTACCTCTGTACGACGGTAATGGCGACCAATACCTTTTCTCCACGCTATTCTGCCGAGTGACGAAGAGCGAACTTGCACCTGTCATACCGCTGTTTGATACCGAGGAAACTAAGAATGAACGAAGGGGTATCCTTAAACAGCTCGGCCAGTCCGTGCTAAAGAGAGCTATTTCCACCGAACGCGACTCGCCAAAGGCCAACATTACCTCAAACGAACAGTCGTGAAATCATCTCTCGCCTATACCACGCCGTCCAATTTACTGCCACCACATAAAACCAAAGTTTAGCGAATCTTTTCTCCTTGAAATCCGTTTTATCTCCTTTTAATACCCCTTCAGTTCCATTACTTCTGCGTTGTGTTGCTTCACCCTCTTGATTTCAATACACATTTTGTACTCCCTTCCCACATACTAACGACCTGTGATGACCTCTTTGTTCGAATACTAGCGAGTACTTTTCTGTCTTCTCTCTCCCAGTGGACCCGTTTTCCCTTCCACTTTCCCCTTGTCCCCTTTCCTTTTTTTCCTTTGTGTTTACTTATACCACTTTGTTTGTCAAGGAATGTGGAAGACCCTTAACCATTTCATCTAAAGCATTTTGCTAGGGCATGGTATATGTGATCTGATATGAAGAGAGCCGGCCTCCTAGGTTTATGAGTTGTCCTTTTTTTTGTGTCTTGATGCTTGATTTTTATTTTTATTTTTATTTTTATTTTTTTGTTTGATATGGAAATGGAAATGTGCATTGAATGGGATGTCATAAATATTGCTCTGGGACATGGGATGGATGGATTATCTGGGTCTAGAACGAATGGTGCTGTCTTTGTTTTTATCATTTATATATGGTTTACCTGAATAGGTCGATGCATATATCAGTGTCAATATCGATATTAGTCTTTACTAAATTATTTCTTACAATTTATGCATGGTAAACTAGGTTAGTGTATTCAAGAAGTTATCATCTTATTACAGCCTGAGTAATTAACTGTGAACAAATAGCGAGAAACGAGAGCAGCGAAGCAAGGGGGCTTCAAGTGTATAATGCGTAAATTGCAGAATTACCACAAACCAAGACATCAATGATAGACGGTTTCTTTGGGGAGGATAATAATAAAAATAGAGTCTGTCAACTTTTATAACAAACTCCCTAATGGCGCCGCAGCTAGGGCCGCAGGCTGGGTCAGATCGGTTTCTCCGGGCAGCGGGATACCAAGGACCTTTTTGATGACATTGATCGGCGCATGATCTCGAGTTGTCTCCATGATATGGCACCAGGTAACGCGGATGGCCAAGATCCCGGAAGTTTTTAGAGGCGGTTCTCGTTCAAATTCAAATAGGAGTTCGCCTCCATTCTGTCTTGGGCTACCTGCTTTGAAGGCGTCTCCCTTGAAAAGGCGCTTGAGGCCTTGCTTGATACCTGACAACATCAAGGAAAAATCGGACCGTGGAGAAAAACTTGGAGCATCCTTGCCAACCAAGAGGTTGCGTCTCATGGCAAAGATGCGGAACAACTCTGTGGTTTGATCGGAGTAGATAGCAAAAGGGCACCTTGTAGCAGCTCTGTACTGATCTATCAGGGTATGCGCGCCGCATCCAATGATCACCATCTTGCAACCGGTTGGAAGATCCTGGTTAGGGTTCGGGAATGCTGCCGAAAGGGCGCGAACATACTCCTGACAATGCTGTATATCTTGGTCAATATATATATACATACAAGTATATCTAAATAGACAAGGCTTCATAAACGGCGTTTGGGTAGCTATACTTACGCCGCAAAAGAAGTGCCGAATAAAAATGGCCATGATTTTATTTGTTGTCGGTGTTCGCAGTTCATCCAGCAAGTCTCCAAACGCGGTAACTTCACCTGCACCATTGTACATGTTCACCGATCGAGATTTCCGAATAACCCCAAGGTCATGCATCATGTTCGAATGGTTGTTGATAAGGGGGTTTTGATTTAGGATGTGGACCTCTGCGGCGCGCACAGGTGAGCCTTCTGCAGGCCTCGGGATTTCCGGCACCCCGGCGCCAACCCTGTCGATGCCCGTTACGGCGACCCCGGTGAAGACGACTCCCTGCGCCGCAACAGACCTCCCATGCAGCCTGAGGGTCTCTTGAATGATGGCCGCTCGAGAGACCCGGGGCATTGCTTCATTGAGTTCCTCTCGGACATCGTCATATGGATTATTGTTCAAGGGAGATCCGTTAGTGTCGCCCATGGCATGCGACTAAGACCAGGAGGGCGTTAGGGAGTGTCCGATCACAGCGGGTATTGCGAGACCGCCTAGGGAAGAGATGGTGACAGGGAGCAGAAGAGGAAGACGACGCACAGGAAGGCCATTTTCATTCACTTAGGTAGGCATTGTTGTTGCTGCTGCTGTTGTTGTCGAGCGGCCGCCATAGCTTCGTCCCTTCCATGAGGTGAATTGGACAGCTGGCCGCAGGCAGGTTCCTGCTGTTTGAATTCTCTATTCAAGACTTTCAAAATTTTGACGCTTATTTGGAGGCTGGTTTTATTTTACCAATTTATTGTAGGACTCGCACATAAAAATAGACATAGGTATCGTTATAAGCCTTGACCGGCCAGCTGACTCCAACACGCCGGGTGGAAAGATACTTTTTGATATGCTCCAAAACCGCCCCCTAAGTTTCCTTTTTGGCCAAATGAATAAGAAAGAAAGTATAGGAAAGGAGATGGTTCATAAGTAGTCCTTCTTCTTGCTCGTTCGGGTGTACTGGGTCAGCGCCCATTCGACGTCTCCTCCGGCGCCTTTCTCGAGGGTACCTCCCTTGATCTCGAAAAGTCGCATGGTCATACGGGGACCAACTTCGGCCAGCTCGACGTCCTGGTACCCTGTCTTGACAAAAACATGGTGTCGTACCTCGATGCTGTCCTCGATATTTTTGAAAGTGACCACCCGGCTGCCAACTTTCCCGGCCTCTCGAGGAGGAAAAAGATGGGACAGAATCTGGACAACTCGTTTACCCAATTTGGTCGTGAATCCTTCGAATATTAGGTGTGGATAGCTCTCTGAGACCGTCCCCCTCGCGGCATTCGGTATATCAGCTCGGAGAACTACATTGTGCAGTGAAAAGCTGGCGGTAGGGCCATGAGGCAGGTGCGAAATCGTTATAGCCGTGGGTGTGCCTCGATGTTCATGTAGAATGACCATGTCACTGAGTGCTGAAGCACTTGCGCTCGCCACCAGGTCGTTAAGCACCAGCGTTCCTCGATTTAGCCGTATAGAGGTAGGCATGAGCAGCCGTATCTCCTTCGCAAACGTACTCAGACGGGAGGAAGGGTCTCGCGACGTCGTAACGAGCGGCCGAGGATCAACCAGGCCGGAAGTGACCGCGTATTCATCGTCGATATCAATCTCCTCCGTTGCTCCCTTCGCCTTTGAATCCCCTGTCGGAAGTGACTCGTCGTACTTGAAATCTTCCCTCAGCCGCCTATCGTTCGCAATCGACGGATCCAGAGGCTTCCCAGAGGCCAGAGACTGCTTCAGCTTCGCTCTCCGTTCTGCAATCGAGGCATCTTTGAGCTGCAGAGCTTTGCGGTAGAGATAGTCTCTGCGCTCGCGTGCCTGTCGTCTCTGCGTCTCCGTCAGCATCTACCCGCAAATAGGTCACCAGGGCAGCTTACTATCATAATTACTTTCTTCCCGCTCTATCACAGCCGGTCACTGTCTCAGCTTCAGCTGTGAATTGCGGATGGGAAATAACTTCGACGTCGTGATGTCTTTTTCTTTTTCTTTTTTTTTTTTTTTAATTTTGCGTTCGGCGCAAGTAGCTCCACTGCGTCACCGTAGAAACTTCGCGATAGGCTTTTTTCTCTTCCTCAACTCCAACTCCAACTTAACTGCGCCAACTAGTTAGTTAAACGAATGAAAAGAGGCGGCGACGGAGAACGAGCAACTCCGTCAGATGTCAGCTCTTGCTTCTTCCTTTCTTCTTCTCTTCTTGGATCTCTTTTCTTCTTCTTCTTTTTCCAACGCTTCTTGTTACAGCCGGGCTGCTGCTATTTCGCTGCGCTCTGCCTCCTATCGGCGGCCGATAAGTCAGCCTCTCTAACTAGGTCCGGCTCCCCCAGAAGCCGATCAGGTATTTTCTTGCTTCCCCAACCGACAAAGATCTCAATGTCTTGCTGCTGTGGACTAATAACGGCCTACAGACAGCTCTGGAGTATACTCTAGAGCTTCATCCGTTATATCGGGCTGCGCGCATTGATCGGACCACTCTCCACTATTCCCATTAGTTATTTATCGTGAAAGACCCAGTCATATGTGGCAGGATGGAAGCGTTTAACAAGATGGGAAACCATATGGTTTCTGACTCTGCAGCTACGATTAATGCTGGCGGTGACGATATCTCTACGGCGGACGGTGAAGAAAGCGTGTTGAACATGGCGGGCGGGCCTCAGAAACGAAGACATGATGATGAAGACGAAGGCTCGGATACTCTCGATGATGACGACGATGATGACCTAGAAAGCATGGCCAGTGTGGCCGTTGATGGTGCCGGCAAACCCCAGGCAAGCAAAACAGAAGAGGAAAAAGAGCTTCCCGCACATGCTTGCGGGTAAGTCGAGATATATCGATACCCCCTGTTGTACCCGGTTTTTTGAGGGGAGAACAAAGCTAATAGATATAGTTACTGTGGCATACACAATCCGAGCAGTGTTGTGAAGTGCTTGACCTGCAATAAGTGGTTTTGCAGTGCTCGTGGAAACACGTCTTCGTCGCATATCGTGAACCATCTGGTCAGGGCTCGCCACAAGGAAGTTCAGCTCCATCCAGCATCATCACTCGGTGATACTATATTGGAATGCTATAACTGCGGAACCAAGAATGTTTTTCTTCTTGGGTTTATTCCAGCAAAGTCTGATACCGTCGTCGTACTCCTTTGCCGCCAGCCATGCGCGGCCATGCCTTCTTCAAAGGATATGAACTGGGATACCCCACGATGGCAACCATTAATGGAAGACCGTTCATTTTTACCATGGCTTGTCTCTGCACCATCCGATCAAGAGCAGCTTCGAGCTCGTCACCTCAGTCCCCAGATGATTGCTAAGTTGGAGGAGCTCTGGAAGGAAAACGCCTCAGCCACCGTAGAAGACTTGGAGAAAGCAACAAACGTGGATGATGAGCCCGCTCCAGTTTTACTCAGATACGATGATGCCTACCAATATCAAAACGTATTTGGACCTCTCGTCAAAATTGAAGCTGACTATGACCGTAAGTTAAAGGAGGCCCAGTCTCAAGATGGCCTCACTGTTCGATGGGATCTTGGTCTGAACAATAAGCATCTCGCCAGCTTTGTTCTCCCAAAGCTGGAGCTTGGCGATGTGAAGCTTGCTGTCGGTGACGAGATGCGTCTCAAGTATGCCGGGGAGCTACGACCGAAGTGGGAGGGCGTTGGATATGTTATCAAAATCCCCAACAACCAGTCCGATGAAGTTACTATCGAGCTGCGTTCAAAGGGAGACCACAAGTCCGTACCTACAGAGATATCTCATAACTTTACTGCGGATTATGTCTGGAAGGCCACCTCCTTTGATCGTATGCAACTTGCAATGAAGACATTCGCCGTGGATGAGATGAGTGTGTCAGGCTACATCTTCCATCGCCTGCTTGGAAATGAGGTTGCCGCTGCCCCCATGAAGACGCAGATGCCAAAGCAATTCAGTGTTCCTGGCCTCCCCGGTCTTAACAGCAGTCAGATTAACGCCGTTAAGGCAGTGTTACAGAAGCCCCTGAGCTTGATCCAGGGTCCCCCTGGAACTGGAAAAACTGTTACATCAGCTACCATTATCTACCATCTTGCAAAGGTTAATGCGGGCCAGGTACTCGTCTGCGCGCCATCGAACGTCGCTGTCGACCAGCTATGTGAATGCATTCACAGAACCGGACTAAAAACTGTTCGTGTAACTGCAAAGTCTCGAGAAGACGTTGAATCACCCGTCCGCCACCTTTCGCTTCACGAACAAGTTCGCAACAATGACAGCAATATTGAGCTTGTCAAGCTTAATCAGCTAAAGACTGAGTTGGGTGAACTCTCAAGTCAGGATGAAAAGAAATATAAGCAGCTTACTCGTGCTGCTGAGAAGGAGATTTTGACTAATGCCGACGTTATATGCTGCACTTGTGTTGGTGCCGGCGACCCACGACTAGCAAAGTCGAAATTCCGCACCGTTTTAATTGATGAGTCAACCCAGTCTGCAGAGCCAGAGTGTATGATCCCGCTGGTTCTAGGGTGCAAACAAGCTGTCCTTGTCGGTGACCACCAGCAGCTTGGACCTGTCATCATGAACAAGAAGGCTGCTAAAGCCGGATTAAACCAATCCCTTTTTGAAAGGTTGGTTATTCTAGGATGTGCTCCTATTCGTTTGAACGTTCAGTACCGAATGCACCCCTGTTTATCCCAGTTCTCCTCAAATATGTTCTACGAAGGTTCTCTCCAGAACGGTGTCTCAAGCGAGGACCGTCTGCTCAAGAATGTTGACTTCCCCTGGCCAGTCGCAGATAAACCCATGATGTTCTGGTCGAATTTGGGAAATGAGGAAATATCAGCCTCCGGGACATCATACCTCAACCGCACTGAAGCTGCCAACGTCGAAAAAATCGTCACTCGTTTCTTCAAGGCTGGTGTTAAACCATCCGGCATCGGTATCATTACCCCATATGAAGGTCAGCGCAGCTATGTCGTCAGCTCTATGCAGTTAACCGGTACTTTCAAGAAGGAGTGGTACAAAGAAATCGAAGTCGCATCAGTTGATGCATTTCAGGGCCGTGAGAAGGATTTCATTGTCCTTTCCTGCGTCCGATCTAACGACCACCAAGGAATCGGTTTCCTTAGCGACCCTCGTCGTCTGAACGTGGCCCTTACCAGAGCTAAGTATGGCCTGGTTATCCTGGGAAATCCAAAGGTTCTTTCTAAGCATCCGCTGTGGAACTACTTGCTACGCCATTTCAAGGAACAGAACTGTCTCGTAGAGGGACCACTGTCTAACCTCCAAACCTCCCTCATTCAGTTCAGCCGGCCAAAGCAAGCCTACCGTGGCCCTCAGCGTTTCCAGATGTCGTTCAATCATGCTTCCAATGTTGACAGCAGCATGTTAAATGGAAGAAATGGGCATCATCACGATTATCACGATGCTGGATCAGTCGTCAGCTATATCCCAGATGATGTATCGTCCGTACATTCATCGGCTCTGGGCGGAGTGGCCATTCCCTCTGGATACCCTCATATGTTCCAAAACTTCACTGAATCCTGGCCGTCCGCCCCCAACAACCGTCGTCCAAACGGCTCCAGGCTGAGAGGCGCACCAAGCGTTGCAGGCGAGTCCGTTGCAGCTACGGAATCTGATGTTACTGGTAGTGTTGTCGATGGAAGAAGTACTGTAGGCCAAGGTGGAGTCAGTCTCTCCGGCCTGAGTATCCATGATGTCCAGAAGCAGACCAGTCTGAGTCAATCCGATCGTCTGAAGCGCTACGTTGAATCAAGCGGTCGTCCTGAGCCATACCGGGGTGGAACTGATGCTGGAAGTGTCTTTGGTGGAAGTGCTGCTGGAATCCGTGTCCCACGCCAGAACTTAGGCAATTCCGGAGATGATGATGATGCCCGCAGCGTCTCTACCGCGTTTGCAAGCCAAGTCGGAGGAAACTATGATTGAATTGTTCCCTCTTCTCCTGTCTACATATGCAGGGATACAGAAGATTGTACGCTGTGTAGGTGATTACGGTACCATAGGCATACAGTACCTGCAGCTCTTACGCCATAGGTTATTCTTTCCGCCGTCATTTTACCACGGCTGCCTCGTGTTTCTATTGCTAAACGCTGCGACTGCGAATACTTTGCACTATACTTGAACCAGCAAGGTGCGCTGAGCAATTCGCCTTTCCCACCCGATCCGTCTGGTCCAATTCTTTATACAGTGCCCCTGCTGTCACCTCGCATTGGAAGAAATATCAGGAGATACGCCCATGCAATGCCCCTGCCTACGATATTCCTTTTGAACCCGGCAGCATTCCGTTATGCCTAGCAACATCAACATGTCTTCTCATCTATGTTGGTCGAGTACCGGCAGATAGTAACAGCTAGTCACCTTGGGCGCTGCGGTCGCTAGGGATGTTCATGAGAGCGGACTGCAAAAGTCAGGAGTGGACGTCGGTGGTGAGAATCAAAAAATGAAAAACACATTAAAACCTGAACTGAAAAAGGAGAGAAATTTTTTAAAAACATGCTTGAGAAAAGAACGAAAAAGTGAAAAAAAAAAAAAAAAAAAAAAAAAAAAAAAAAACATGGATGATAATTTAATAGATTAGGAGAAAATGCTTCGGCATTTCACCACACTCGTTTACAAATTGACATTAACTACCGCAAGCTTCTGAATTTGACAACTTTGTAGATATAGGCCCTACTACTTTATAAGGCGAGAAAGTACCAACTCTACGTTATCTCTCAGGTTTTCATGATCTCAGGCATAGTAGAACGTGAATAATTGTGAGAAATATGAGACAAATTGACAGGTTTGATGATCAAATTGAAACTTTCGAGATGCTGACTTTGAATACACTATCCGATCCTAGTTGCATTGATGCATTCTGCCTCCGAATCCAGGACTGTTTCTCGGGTAGTTCACATCAACTGGTCTCTGTTTCCTTAATCGCGGGCGTAGAAGTCTGTGAAGGCTCTGGAGTAAATTGAAACCAGTCCTCCCAAGGAGACACTATTTCACCATCCGAGTTCCTAGGCTTTGACGGCCCATCTCTTCTATCCCACGGCTTGCCTGTCTTCGCGCGAAAGAACTTATCGAAATTCTCTATTGCGGTGGATAAAGGACCCCCGACGGGAACTATATAATCTGACCCGACTCTTCCTGGGCGGGTATATTTTGCAAAGACGGCGTAGGTTTGTGGAGTACTATCCGATTCATAGAGCTAGGTAGGACATTGACATTAAGCAGAGATTCAGGCGTTTGAGAATTCGAATTCGAAGGTATAAATATAAAATACCTTCAAGATATGCTTTTCTTTTGCCTTTGAAGCTTCAATTGGTCGAACTAAAGTTGCTATATAGCGAACCCCGGCTGCGTCGGAGTATATATGATGGCCAGCTACCAAAACGACAAGCATTAGAACACGATTCTCCATATAGCATCAGAAGAAGAGTTATTTCACCGAGTTCCAAATTCTTTTTCACTTTATTGCCTGATTTGGGGGTAAATGTTAGCCATGGTGCTATACAGCTTGGAGCCCCCTGAAGAGAGTTTTATATAGACCATTTATCTGCTTTGTATTTGCATCTTTGTCCGCTTCCTTCCGTCCAGACGATGCTTTTCTGGCTTTCTTAGTCAACTGAGACCATAGATATGGGCCTTCACGCTTAGGGCGTCGAGATTTTGACAAAAGAGAGTCTTCCAACCAATCTGAAGAAACTATTTTTAGCCCCTTAACGCGCTTAGCTGCTCGTACTGCAATGTATATTATTAGTATTAATACGACGTTTGACAGAAATGCCATGGAAAGTTGAGATTAAAAGAATAGCTAGAATTTATGCAATTTTGTATCTGCCCAGCATACCAGCGTTGTTATTCGCCTTGAAGGCTCTTTTTGTAGATAGCAAATGGGTGACCTCGCTGTTGACCTCCTTGGAGAAACTTCCACCGTTGGCTTCAACCCACTTCTTGAACTTATCTGCAATAGGTCCAAATTCACCAGTAACGCTCACGGTTATATTCTTGAATGTTCGGCCCATGGCTTTGGGTATAATCTGTAGCTTCAGTTGGGCTTTGATAGGTTGTAGATCGACACAAGGTGAAAGTGATAAGTAACAATTTAGTAGCTTAGTGATAGCAACCTGGCGTATTTCCGTTGAGGGAATCTGCGAGAACTTCTTAGTTGGATCCTTAAGTGTGTCGTTGAAGATATATATATGAAGCCAAAGAAGCAGATTGTGACAGAAATAGGGATAACCGAGGATTAAGTAGTCGTTAGATCAACAGAGGCATCACTTGCATGATTAAGTGGTGGGAAATAAGCTCGAATCATATATATCCCCCTATGTTCTAATGACATTAACCTCATCTCATTATCATAGAAGCATATACGTAAACGAAGCAGTTCAACCAAAACAACGGCCTTTATCACCCGAAATGATAATCACTGATTTAGAAAGTAGTCAGCACCCTGAATTCACAAGGTGGTATTTCTAATGTTTTTGGCAGCAGTGATAAAAGCCTTGATCTTTTTAATATCCTGTGCTCCGTCAGTCTCAACGCCGCTGCTGACGTCCACACCCACAACCTTGTTTCCTTCCTCGCCAAGGGCGCGAAGAACATCGGTCACATTCTTATCATCGAGGCCACCAGCCAGGATAATTCGTTGTCCAGGGTCTTTCTTTAGAACACCCCTGACTTGTTCTAGGGCAAGTCTCTCACCAGTACCACCAGCCCCAGAGTCCAAGAGGGGAAGGCTGTGATAGCCTCGGCGAGAAATTCCCAAATCTGATGGAGAGAACTTCTTGATAACTGGGACAGGGAGGAGCGATGGCCATTCAACGGGTTCCGATCCGTGGAGCTGGATAACGTCAAGGTCTAGTTTCTGCTGCTGAGCCACTATATAGGAAAGAGGCTGGTTCTGGAATACTCCAACCAGAAGAGCCCGGTCAGGGTTTCTGAGGAGACCAGTAGTGTGGTCAAAATAGTTGGAGGCAAGGAATGCGTCTCCATAAGCAGGAGGTTGGGTCTTCAAGGAAGAGGGACGTGGTGTGGATTTGACAGTCTTCGAAATTTCCAGAGCAGTCTCGGTGGACACAGTTCTTGATCGGCCTTCTGCAAGAATAATACCAATCAGGTCAGCACCACCTTCAATGGCTGCCTTGACAGCAGCAGCAGATCTCGTTCCGCAAATTTTGACCAAGGGAGCGCCAGGAGTCTGGGCAAAGGGGCCAGGTTTGGTTCCAAAAAGCTTAGATACAAACACGCCAACGTCTTGAGCACGCATAAGGGCCTCTCCAACAAGAACAGCCTTGACTCCATTTTTCTGGTATGGTGCAACATCCTGGGGGCCTGAGATGCCACTGAGGGCACAGACAATGGTAGATTCCGGAACTTGTCCCATGAGACGGCTGGTTGTCTCTAGATCAACCTCAAAACTCTGGAGGTTGCGGTTGTTGACGCCAATGACTTTGGAGCCCAGCCTAACTGCAATTGCCATCTCCTCAGGGTTGTTGACTTCGACCAGAGGCTCCATACCAAGCTTTCGAGAGTAATCGAACAGCCTCTTGAGGAGAGGCTCCGCAAGCATCTTAACGATCAAAAGCACAGTGTCCGCACCAGCAAGGCGGGCTTCAAGGATCTGGTATTCATCAAAGACAAACTCCTTTCGTAGAATGGCAGGACGATTAGGAATACCCTCCAAACTCTGTCGGACCGCACGTAGGTCATCCAGGCTGCCCTTGAACCACTCTGGTTCTGTAAGCACGGAGATAACGCTGGCACCGGCCATGGCGTACTTCCGGGCTTGAGCTGGTGCACAGATAGATGCGGCAATGATGCCCTTGGAAGGGGAAGCCCTCTTAATCTCGGCCATGAGAGAGAGTGGGAAGGGAGACTTGGCGAGGCGATCTGGGAAGGAAATCTGTGGAGGAGAAATACCAAGGTCGTATGCAGCCTGAAGATCATCTGGACGCTGAGATGGGATTTCCTTTTGCACTTTAACTGCAGCTTGACGGTGAGCGTAGATCTTATCGAGGATAGATCCCTTCTTCATTTCACTAGATTGGCCGTTTGTAGATGGAACGGTAGCTGGGCCAGGGGCAGAAGCATTGTGCTCTTCCCAGGTTCCCCCTCGAGTCAGAAGGAAGTTTCGGAACATAGCTCGCCCATGTTCGGTCAGAATGCTCTCTGGGTGGAATTGAACGCCCTCGACGGTGAACTTCTTGTGTCTCACGCCCATAATGACGTCAGGCCGGTTAGGATCACCCAAATCAGTAGTTGAGGATATCTCAAGACAGTCCGGGATGGTGGTGGCCGATCCAGCTAGCGAATGGTAGCGTGTAATGTTCAGCGAAGCCGGAAGAGAGGCGTATACGCCCTTTGAGTCATGCTTCAATGGAGATGTCTTGCCGTGCAGAATCTCTCCTGCGACATCCACCTCACCCCCAAACGAGGATATAATGCATTGCTGGCCCATGCACACTCCAAAAATAGGTATCTTGCCGGCAAAATGCTGGATGGCCTCGTTGCAGATGCCTGCGTCGGTCTTGGGGTGCCCAGGGCCGGGGCTGAGAACGAGCTGGGTAGGCTTTTCAGCAATCAGCTCCTCCAGCGTAGCGGCATCATTGCGGATAACCCTGACTGTGGCACCCTCGAGAACGAGATACTGGTACAGATTCCATGTAAACGAGTCGTAGTTATCGATCAGGATCACATTGGAGGCGTTCTCCAGCCGTCCAGACGGGGTGGGGTGGTTTGGTGAATGGTCAACCAGCGCCATCGTGATAGCTCTCTTTCTGCTCTTCTGCTGGCTGTTTATCGGGCTTCTGCTGCGTCTGTCTCTGCTCTGTCTCTGCTGTCGAAGGGGAATTCTGTCGTCCTCCCGCCGTCCGCCGTCCCTCTCTTTATATAGACGGCGAAGCGGGAATGCGAGAAGACCAGACTCAAAGATAAGGCAGGGCGGCTTTGAAATCGGCGCTAGTCCCAGATAGGCATCGACCTTTGTTGACTTATTTTTTTCCTTTTGAGCTTCAACTTTTCGACTTCACGCAAAAGCAAGCCAGCACCGCCTATAGATTGAATGATCAATTAGCACCAGCCCGCGTGCTTGCTCAGGCTCAGATCTCTCCTCGGTCTCTCTCTCGGACCATGATATAGCTGGATGCGCTCATGGCTCCGCCGTCGGACGTCTACTTCCCATCGCTGGACGAGTGCTTTGGCGACAGCCAGATCATGTTCGCATACCCCCGTTTTTTAAATTTACCCCAGGAATTGAACAGCATGCTAACCGCAGTTGTAGATCCTGGAAAACCGCATACTTGTCTGTAGCAAGGGCAGGCGACCAGTCTAAACCTGACAAGAACATCTCCGACTTCCTCTCTTCCTCAACCGGTCTCCGCATCCTCTCAAGCCCTTACTCCCCCTTCCCTAAGCCCTCCAGCGCTTCAAAGACAGCATTTGAGTCGAAGACGGCCGCTATCCATTTCACGTCTTCTAAAAACAACTCAGATTCAGACGAAATAAAGTCCGATGCGCTATGGCTGAGCAAGGAGGCCAGCATCGACGAGGTTTCCGCGCTGCGCATAGTCGTGTTAGCCTGGCAGCGTCGACGCGAAAATGAGCTTCTATCGCATTTTTCAGAAGAGGAGCTCACAAGTTTGCATGATGCCGTTGGGATTGGGAGGTCGCCGCATGGGTCCTACGGAATCGAGGCTTCCAGCATTCTCAAATACGCCGGTTCGCAGTCTAAATCACCAGCAACGTTAAAATCCAAAGAAACAAGGCAGAAAATCTTGTTTCATACCTGGTTGTCAGAGCAGAGGTACATACTCAAACTGGCCCATTTCTTGGTAGCTACATCCTTACGGGATACACGGCAAGATCAACAACTTGAACAATTATCTGGGTCTGGCGATAGCTTTATCGTGGGGGCCAGCCAGCTGGGGCGCGCCATCCTCAACGGCCAGTGCGGGACATTGAAAGTTGAAAAGACCGAGATTAGCATTCCTAGCTGCATTGAGGCCTTTCGGCTACGCGTTAAAGGTCTAGAAGCTGGTAGTTGGTGGTCAAATTCGGTTGGGCTTGATGTGTTGATGGAAAGCTCTTGGCAGGCAAGTTCTCTTGAAGAACTTGTCCAGATATTGAGCCTCCTATTCCTTCAGGTCAGATCCTCGGAGGCAATCCCCTCGTCTGATGTACTCTTGTCTTGGCTCAGGTTGATGAGTGAATATGAATTCCTAGAGACTATTCGTCCAGTAAGTGTTAGTATCTGTCTCCTCTTGTCACACTAAGCTAACTCCAGAAAAAGTCAACTGAAGAGCAAGCAGCCATCTGCTCCCAGCTTCAGACTCTCGTATCTATAACAACGCTCTCATTCCTCAAACTCCAGAGCTCTTCTGCACGCTTAGACAAACCTGAGCTAAAGCCAACAAATGTCCCATACTTCTTATCTCAGAAGGACGTTGGCGAGATCAACGAGATATTTCTTAAAGCAGCCCAGGTTGGCCGACTAACTGCAAGTGCTGCAGTTTTTTCCTGGGCAGTCATCATGTATTCGGTGGGAGAAATCGCCCTGGCGATCAAGGAAGACAGAGAGCTCCAGCAGGCAAACCACGCTGTAGAATCGTTCAACAATAGCACACAGTTTGCGACACCATCTGCTCTCTCCGAATCATCCATATACGAGGAAGTTTGGGAAAAGGCACGCAATCCCGAGTTTGACGAGGACTTTGTCAGATTTCTCGTTTCGAGCGCTGTCGATAGATGTCGTTTGTTGGAGCTCATATTTGCTATGTCAGAACAGCTTCGATCCGTCCCAAGACAGAGAGGAGAGAATCTGGTAAACCAATGGGGTCAGCTAGAGCTCTTAGACCTGATTAGATCCGGGGTTCAATACCTAGACTACATCCCTGAGCTAGTTTCAGCGGTACTTTGTATCGTATCTGAGCCAACCGAACATCACTGCCTAGACAAGGAACCAAAATTCGACGACGCTTACGATCCCCGAGCTGTCTTCCTGAACGATGATATTCTAATGGAGAAGATCTTCCGAAATGCAAAATCTCGTTTCCCCTACGAGGCTGCAAATTTTTTGAAGTTCTGCAGAGCTCTCTCAGGGTGTAGCCTATCAACCGAAGACGGCCTGTCCATAATCTGTCATGAACTAGAATCCATGACTACCTATACACAGGCTGTTGCATCTGGGTTCCAGGGGTACAGATCAATCCGGGAAGATGAAAACGCTAACTATGTCGAGCTAATCGCGCCTCTGGATATGAAAGAGGTTTCTTCCGCAAAACGTGATACCATGCAAACTTCTAACGAATTAGTTCTTGCTAATGAATTGTCTGTACTTCCTGCAGTTACAGTTGGGCAAGTGGTCAGCGAGTCGAAGCCTGCTGTGATAATGTGGCATCACCAGTACAACTGCCTTGGATTCCTCGGGAAGTGGCTAGAACAAGGCACCAACAGCCGCGGGAATGAAAATGCCCCTGACGATGATGTTGCTGCAGATATTATCGGTCTACTTGCGGACTTGATCGATGATGCATATGCCATCTCTAGGGTTACTGGACTTGAATCTTCCGCCAAACGAATCTTGGAAATGGCGAGCGATGGGCTAGATCGCCATGCGGATATCATATCTGTAATTTTCAACATTTTTGAGCGCAGCCTTCAGGGTGCTAGCGCCGCTACATCTGGCAATCGAAACCTCGATCTTACTATATCTTGCATGCATTTCATATCGTCGCTTACCAAAGTCCTCCCTGGAAGGGTCTGGCCAGCTCTTGTTCGAAGTTCCTTCCTGTCAACCAATGGAAACGGCGGAATGTTGGATAAAATCATCTTCTCGGTAGAGGCAAGCTCTGGAGATCTTTCGTTCCTCCTCTCATCGATCAGACTATTTGAGGCTGTCGTCGATGATGCTATCACTCATGCTGCTCTTCGAAGAACCACCGCAAAGGTCACTTCAGCTGCCTATGTGATTGAATACACAGCCGGAATTCCCGTGCGCTCGATGCGCACCTGCTTGCTTAACTTCGTTCGAGCTATGGTGGAGATATACAATAGCGGCTCCGGCTGGAAACACAATGACATCCACCAACAAATTGAAATCAACACCTCCTTAGCCATTAATTTCCACAAAATCCTCTATTATGTTTACGGAACCGATGATACCCAAGACCCTGACGATAAAATAACTGCTGTGTTTTCAAGTTCTGCCAGATACCTATTGAACATTCTCCGACCAAGATTGAATGAGAGTCTCCAGTCTAATCCCATCTTGCGAATTATTCTAGGTGGATTTGAGGCTCATGTGCCTGAAAACATGGTTCACTCGACAATAGAATGCAGTACTTTGGTTGTTTCCACACTTGATTTGGCCAAGATCCTCATACAAGTTGGATGGCTGACGGACGCTCCCATTTCTGCACTTGAGAAGCAGCTCTTCAGCGCCTCGCCTGTTCTCGCAAGATTATTTGTTCTTAATCGCAGATACCAACTCCCAATTTCTACATTGCTGGAGTTACTTGTGTCTCGCGCTTCCGCCTATACTGACAGAGAGCCGCCTTCTCTACTTGGACACCTTGGTGCCCAGTCATCGTGCCGTTTTCTAGATGCTCTAGCCAAATTTGACCGGCCATTCGGATCTGATGACGTTAAGGTAGCTATCTGGAATCTCGTGACTTCAATAATAACTAAGAGACAGCAATGGCTTGCTGTTTTCCTACTCACCGGCTGCTCTCCTCGAGAGTCCCTGAAAGCAGATTCCGATAAATCAGCTGCGTCTATGAAATCAAAACCATTCCTGGAAGCATCTCTGGATCTACTGTCCTCCATTTCTTCCATTCCACCCCAAGTAGCAGTAGCCGCGCTACATTTCATCGCTAAAGCCCAAGAACACTGGCCATGGGTAACACCAGAGCTCAAGAAACACCCAAATTTCTTCACTGTGGTAACTAAATACATCACCGATCTAAATATCAGCAAGCTTCAGCCATACCAAAAATGCATGAATATACGGATAGCTGCGTTGGTTGTCGATATCTGCACCGTGTATTTACACAGTGCTAAGGAGGCCAGAGATGGGTCGTTCTTCAAAACACTGATACCACTCGTCACCTGGCTCTCGGAAAATGCAGTTGAGGTTGACGGATACAATGCGTCGCTACATGGGAATCTGAAACGCAACTTTGAGATGAAATACCGCGAGAGCAAGATATCAAATATCAAGCGCACTGCGCTTACGCAACCGGAATTTGGGGAGGAATACTATTATGACATCCCAATGGGTAACAAGCTCTTTGGCTACGATTTTGCATGGATTGGTAAACGTGATCAAGGGTTTGTGGAAGAGGTTAAACGGGCCAATTTAAACCTATCTCTTGTTGAGGCACAGATGGTAGGCCAAGTTCTTTTTAATCTATTCGAATTTTTTATTGTTTCTTTTCTTTTTTACTGACTTTGAAATAGTCACTTCTTCACAGCTGGAAATTCTTTGCTATCGAGCATTGCTCTGATTTTATGCCTGACCGTGAAGTTCAGAAGTCTATGGCCAGAGTTGTCCGCCATTGCTTGGTTGCAAACTCTCATGATATACCTGACGAGCAAATATTTTTCAAACTTCTTGAAACAAGAGCGGAATTCGCCCTGGCCCTGGTTCATCGCCTTGTTGAAGTACAAGCGAGGGGTTCTGAAGTTTTCAGCCTTTTATCTGTTACATGGGAAACTATCAGGCTTCGTAACCCGACATATGAGAGCGCCCTCTTGCACGACAACACAGAGTATTATGGGCTCCTGCTTAATGTGCTCTTCCTTACACTGCAGTTCCATGTTACAGGCGCTAATCTAGTCAACCCAGAAGCCGTCAGTCAGAAACCTGAGGTATCCTCTGATCTGACTGTCGTTGTCGATGTGATCAAGAACGTAGTTGCCAATGGCTACCGATCTCTATGCACACACCTTCACGATTCTCCTGAAAAATGCACTCCCAAGGATTTTGCCATTTTAACCGCAATCTTGCAAACCTCCCTAAAGGTCAAGGATGTCGATCGCATCTACGAACAGATTGCGTTTCACCTGGCTGATAGTGATACTATTCGATACGCTGCAACCCTTTTCTCATGGTCAAATCAGCTTACCATTGAAGGCGACCCTGTCTATGGCGAGATCAGCATGCTGTATCTCCTAGAGCTATCTTGCATTCCTAGCATTGCAGAGCAGCTTGCAGTAGACGGAATACTTGTCAAACTGTCAACCTACAGACTCACCGAGGCATTCCGTCAACCCCAAGGCTGTGGTCCATTCGATCCTATTCCAAGGCTTTTCTCCATATGGAATTCTGGTTTCCTGCCACTCTGCTTGAATTTACTATATCACATCGGGCGCACAGTACCCGAAGTTGCTGCGTTCCTTAACCAATTTGATGGTCAGCTTCGACGAGCATCAACTGGCTTCTCACTCAGCAACCCAACCGTCATTCCCAGCTCCAGTCTAGCTATGAGCCATCACACCAAGTATCTGTCCCTTGGAATGGCAACTGAAGCCTGTTCTCTTGCGCTGATTTCAATGATTATCCAGAAATTCCGTGATGCAGGACCAAGTGCAGGTGTAGACCCGCAGAATATCCAAGACCTGAAGTGGGACAAAGCGCAGGTGAAAGACGATATTGACGCTTTGCTGGAAAAGCGTTCAGCCCTACGCTCGCGTATCACGCCGACGAATGAAAAGGAGGCTGCCTGGGCGCAGAGACCACCTCTGAATCCATCGAGTGGCGCGGAGAACTTGTTGGAAGAGAAGATAGTGAAGGAGCTTCAAACAGCTATTGCATGTATGGGCGCTGGAAGTGATTAGTGTATATGAGCCATTTTGAATGCCAGTGTTGTCTTGTTTTATCTACGGAGTATCCCTTGCTAGAATTCTTTTTTTTCTTACAATGACTATACGAAGAATGATGGAGTATTCAAAGGCATTCCAACGCCAAAGGGCCTTTGTACAACTTAAGACGCGCGGGAATAATATAGGCTCGCTTCGTTAGAGTCAATCTATCGTTTCTTTTTTCGGCGAAGCTTCCATTTTTTGACCGATTTTCTTGCCTTCTGGCCGTTGATCGTTGGCTCAAGGTTTATGCAGGGAAGCATGTCATGATTTGGCGTCAAGCCATAGTCAAGCCGGCACATCGTATTTGATCCTTGGTTTCTGGTCTCTTCTGCTGGCCAAGTCGCTTGGGCGAGAGGGTCTACTTGTCGGCTATATTTCCGGTAGTGTGAGAGCACACTTGTGGACCACCACCTGGGGTATTACTGTTATTCGATCTGGCCATGCGGCCAGGACAAGCGTACAATCATATCTGACAGCCAATGTTGGCACCTATAGTTGATATCGCTGCCCAAGGCCTTTTTTGCCTTAAGTGACCATGACTATTCAACTTGGTTCCATGATAATAGCGTTTTATGTGGTCGTCAGGGCCTCGATCTGCCGGAAAAAATCTACGAGACTTCTCCATCAGGGGCCCATTCTCGAACGAGAAAGGCACGGCGTTCTCGAAGATCCGCTCCACCGATGGCGAGGCACCCCTGTTTCTTTTCTGTTGTCTTAATGCTGTAGGGGACATATATAAATGTAGGATTGCTGTCCGGAGATATTTATGCGGGATGTTGTTGCACCGTATAGAATGTGCCATTGTCAAAAGGCCCAACAGATTGCCTAGTTTGAAAGGAAACCCGCGATTAAAGACCTTCGAACAGAATAACTCGAGCATTCACTGAGCTTTAAGTGAACGCTAGTGAATGCGGAGCAGGGCGATGCCCGAACCCGTCTTCTTAGACCTGGTTAAAATCTCTATTTCTTGTTTATTTTATTATTATTATTAAAAAAAAAAAAAAAAAAAATGCAGCTGATTGCTGTTCCTTTTGTCCCAGGCTGAAGATAGGAAGCTGAAGGGATATTGAAAGACTGTTCAATCTCCCATTGTACATCTGAGCGTTGACAATAACTTGATCAGTTCACCATGATCCCAGCGGCCTTAATTCCCCCACACTTATAGGGCTGACAAGGTTCCAGAATCACAAATCTCTTCCCATTGTGCTCAGGATGGTTTTCAAATCCAGATGGTGTGTGGAGATGCCCAACGCATCACTACCTACGGTAATTTTTGGATCACCAACAGCGACGTTATCAACGACCAAATGCAGCTTTATTGATGCGGCTCGCCCCGACACCCACTATTTCACGGCCCATGACTACCGTCTTTGGTGCCAGCGGTTCGCCGTTGGATTGAGAAAATCGGGGGTGAAAACAGGCGATCGTGTTCTTCTATTCTCTCCGAGTGACTTGTTCTTCCTTGTGGTCTTCATGGGGATTGTGATGGCTGGTGGCATCTTCACCGGTGCAAATCCCACGTACATCCCAAGAGAGTTGGCATACCAGCTAAAGGACAGTGGAGCAAAGTATCTCCTGTGCGCCGAGGGAAGTCTGGATACTGGTATTGAAGCAGCAAAGTCCATCGGTAGGGGCCTGGATAGGGTATTCCTATTTAACAGTGCAGTGTTTGATGGTACGGGGAGTGGTTCACGGGGTTGCCGTTACTGGGGAGACCTCATCGCATCCCCTACAGAGGCAGCCGGTTCTTCTGGGAGTCGTTATCAGCTCCAAGTGAATCTAATCGAACTTTGGCCTTGAACTATTCAAGCGGCACAACTGGCCTCCCCAAGGGGGTAGAGATCACTCATAGAAACTATGTGGCCAACATCCTTCAGTTTGACCATACCGGCTCTCTCCACCACGACTATACATATAAAACTGCTAGGTCCAGATGGCTTTGCTTCTTACCGTTGTATCATGCCATGGCACAAAACTTTTTCATAACATCCGCACATCCCGGTATATATCATGGCTCAGTTTGATTTCATTCAAATGTTGGAAAATATCCAAAAATTCCGCATCAATGAGATACTCACTGTTCCACCCATCATGATTGCGCTAGCAGAACACCCCCTGGTGAAGAAATATGATCTCAGTCGCTTGGAGTCAATTGGATTCGGAGCTGCTCCACTACGAAGAGAAATCAGTGAGGAAGTCGAGTCCATGTTTCCTCCGGGGAAACTCAATGTCATGCAGGGCTGGGGTATGACCGAGTGAGTTACCCTTAATATCCGTTTTACTATGGACATATTAGTATCAGATGACACGGCGAATACATCGTTGCTAACGTATATTAGGACAACCTGTACTATTCTTTGCTGGGATCCAAATGAACGAAGCACGAGTTCATCGGTGGGAGAGCTAAATTCCAATTGCGAGTGTAAGATGATGGCCGAGGGTGGTGTGACAGAGCTCGGCGAGAACCAAAGAGGTGAAATATGGGTCAGAGCCCCCAATGTCATGAATGGCTACTGGAACAAACCGGAAGTAACCAGGGAAACTTTGACGGAAGATGGATGGCTCAAAGCCGGAGACATCGGACGATCGCCAAATATGTGCACCTCATCGAGTAAAGAGCTGTTGGTGCTTGCGTTGGTATTCGAGCTCTGGGACTTACGTGACAGAGCAGGGAAAAATTTTCATTGTTGACCGGAAGAAGGTAACGAGGCATAACCAATTGTGCTTTTCTCCACGGACTCCGCTAACTCCTGGTTTGTTTTCCCTCAATCCGCAGGAACTTATCAAGGTGAAGGGAAACCAGGTTGCCCCTACAGAGTTAGAAGGGGTGCTTCTCGAGCACCCATCAGTCGCAGATGCAGCTGTCATTGGCATAACCAGGTGAGAAAACCCATGCAGCGACCCCGCAGAATGCGCTGTCAAGGTTATCCTAATGCAAGATATTTCGATAGGGACGGTGAAGAGTATCCACGGGCATATATAACCTTGAAAGACGGTGCAAAGGCAGCCGCAAAAGCAATAATCGATTACATGAAGCAAAACGTTGCTCCCACGAAACGAATCACTGGCGGAGTAGTGTTTGTCAAGGATATCCCTAAGAATCCATCAGGAAAGGTCCTTAGAAAAGTTCTAAGAGAGAGAGCTGCCCAGGAGCTTCAAAGCGAACGACTCCAGGTATCTGCCAAACTTTAAAGTGGCCGGAGTATGGGGATGGTAGCTGGTACGCCCAGCGGAGGGAATGGTTGGGCTGCATCCCGCTTGCTAGAGATGGTTGTCTCGGCATCTTATTGGACTTAATCAAATCCATCCTCGAGCTAGCTGGGAGCTGCTTGAATCAGAAAATCGAAGTATAATGCTGTTCGCAAAACTTAGGAAACGTGGCCCCGGTCATAATGACCATGGGATAGCGGAAGTCTCAACACCTATACACGCACGGCATAATAGTGTGTCATACTCAGGTCTTTAGACCACAAATGAAGCATCTGCCCGCTCTAGATGCTGAGTCCAAGTTGAAGACGAGGAGAAAAAGCCACCTTCAGCTGAGATAGGCTCTTAGCTTCATGCGAGATCTAATCCCGCTGGACCAGATGGCTCCCCGGAGGGGGTTTGCAGTATGCTATGTAACACAACAAGCTCATGCATAGTCGATACATAGATAGATTCATGCCTTCATCCTAGGCTATCCTTGTTTTAACCGAACTGGCCGGTGGTTTTCCTTGTCCTCCTCATCGTCATCGTCGTCGTCGTCGTCTGTTTGATATTTCAAAATTATCACGTGACCGGCATTCCCTTTTCAGCGTCTTTTGACGACGTCGAACGTCTGAGCCCGGAACAACGAACAGCTTGCAACTTGATTCTACTTGTTGTGTTTGCTGGCATGTATCCATGGCATCATATGCAATGCAAGGAACCGGCACTTCTTGCCTATTGCCAGCCGTGCTCAATTTTATGAGCTGTAGGCCGTGCATGAGCCTGCATGGGCGGAGCCTAGCTTGCAAACATGTAGCTGAGAGACAAAATCCGTCTAGCCATTCATATACCCAGGTTTGCATCAGGCTTGCCCAGAGTACGGGCATTTGATCTACGACTCTAGGCAGACACATTCCTCAGGACTTCCAATGATATTGAACGACGTCGATGGGGAGCAGCGTGGGCATTACAGGTAGTCAGTCAGTCAGGCCCTGGATCATGCAAGAATGGCACGCCAAGGGTCAGATTTTGAATCCTTGTTGTATCTTTGCTGGGAGAAACAAACAACTCTCGGCTATGAATGAACTTCACAGCCTTGGCAAGGATACTATCAAACGACAACATGCTTCAGGCAAGGAGAAATGGCCGATCAACTAGGAAAACTTGCCTCTGGACACAGTATCCCTCCTCTTGGGAGGATTAACAGAATATTTGAGAGTAGATATCGACAGGTGACGTTTTTCGAACTATGGAAACAAGAATCCTTCCATGCCCGCTTCCATGCCTTCACAGTCCCAACATCTAAAATTAAATCAACACCCCCTGCAAATAGTCATATCGGATATGGGGATATACTTGACCCTAAGCCGCTTCACGCTCAGGCAAAGGCGGGGGAAAGGTAGTGCTACATCATCCTCAGCCAGCCTCTCTCCCTTGCCTTCCACTTGGCCAAGAAGACATACCAACCTCAGGCGACACAGTATGATGGTATCCACAGGGAATATCAGCCTAGATCCCGGTTCCCTCGAATCTGTGCCTCGTCATGTTTTTCGTTTGGTATGCCCAGGTATCTAAGCCCACACGCTCTGAGCCATCAAGCGGAAAATAAGGCTTGCACCAATGTCCACAGTTCCTGCTAGGCGAAAAAAACATCGACTCATAGACCCGGAGCTAATAGCTACCTCGGCATATCCTTAGACCACAGTCAGTTTCTTCCTCTTCCAAAGTGGCCGACGGCTTCTATATAGTAGGAAGCTCATCGTACTGTGGCTGGTGGCGTGTGGCTAGTGAGCGAAAATAAACACGTGTTAATAGTGGCTGTGTCCCACGGCGCTAGTCCCAGTCAAGATAAGGGTGTTTGTCCTCGCCAGCTGAACTCCTGTTATTTCTTTTTTCTATCCGAAGAACAACCTCCAAACCTCAGCTTGCTCGCTTCCCCTAATCCCTACCTCCCGAGCGTACCGGGCAATAATACGACAGAGTACGCCTGTTGCGGCTCAGATGAGACTGGGAGCGCATGGAACTGTCAGGAAGAGAGCAATTTAAGCAGCTGGGGGTGAAGGATAGTTTTCATATGTATGGGGTACGCCCGTATTGAGGAAACCCCAGTACTCAATATGAGCCTCAAAATAGCAAATGCACTTCCAAAGACCATCAACGAACCCATCCCTGTGAAATGTGGCGTCGATCGAGCTCTCAATTTTTTTAGTCGTTGCGGGGCAAGAGCTGTCTTATTCGACAAAGCTCGTGCTGTGCTACGTATGGGCATGCGAAGCACTACGCCCCATACGGATGCCACCACTATACCAAACTCCTACCCCATTACGTTCTAGGTGGAATGATAGGAAGGATCCTGCTGTTCCACGGAGATCTTCAGAGGATGCCGGTGTTTCCGTCCGAATGAGTTCCCATGGCGCTTAGGCCTGCCATGGTGGTAGGTCTCTGAAAATTGTCCAGGATCGTCTGTGTTTTGCGCGTTGAGAGACGAAGAAGATGACTTCTCAAAGCTGAGTTGTCTCGCTGATGTGGATCCAGAGCCGCGGGCTATGGAATCTCGGGAATTTCGGGGACCCTTTCGTCGAAGCTCCGTTACAGGAGACAGACGGTTGGTGTGACTGCTGGGTGGTCAACTTTGACCTCATTCAAGCGGGATAAAGGCTAGATGACGCCTACTTATGCGGCGTTCCCTCTTTTTACCTCATTTATCTTCTTGCTTTTTCTCTCCTCTCTCTTAGCTTAGATGCATGGATCTCTAATCCAGCTTGATCGTCAACGTTAGAGCTGCTGCCTCAACTGTATATATCTGTCGCCTTCTGCCATAGATATATCTTTCTTATTCCTTTTTTGGGTTATGGAAATAAACAAGTTACGCTTGCGTTTGCATGGATATTCGGCCTCTTTGCCTCCATCACTGCATACCTCAACGCTTTCTTCAAAGTGATATCCAAGGAGGCAAATAATAATAATAATAATCAACTCCTTTCCGTTCGCCATCAACACCGTTTCCATATAAATTAGTCACTATTTTCTCACCATGGCTCCCATCAAGCAAGGTTACTTCCAACTATCAACTTCACGAATATCTCCTCTTTCACGGCTGTTACTCCTCTTACCCTTTTCTTTGCTCATATTCGCCATTATACGACGGGTCCAAGGGCGCAAAATGGCTTCCTCTGAAGACTCAAGCGCCAAAAAGTACTCACGCGCAATTGATATTTCCAACCACACGGGCGAAAAACTCCAGGTTCGCCTATCGATCGAAGAAGCTTCCCTTCCCAATAGCCAAGATCCACCTGCTATGGCCGGTGAGAGCAATTCCGGCCACCTCGAAGCACCATCACTCTCCAATTCAGGGCCTCCACAGCCGTTCGATATAACGAACTTGCCATTACCAACAGCGGCTAAGGAGATGAAAAACCACACAACAACGTTGTCCGAGCGGGAATTTACGCAGCCAGAATCATCGTCAGTCCATCCTGAGGCACCACGGCTTCAGAAAGAAGCCGTTCAGATATTTAGAGATGTGGGATCGAAGTCTCGAAAAGACTGGAGGAGAAAGGTGCTACAGTACCACTAGTGGTACAAGTTTTTTCAAAGCAGGAACTGCTTCGTTATGCGTTTGGGTTTTACTATGGATATTTAATTGGCTCCTGTGTTTCTTTTGGTTGTACACACAGGATGATATACCGACTACGAAGTGATACCCTCAACGAAACCATCATCTTTTTTTTTAAAAAATTATTTTCTGGATAGAGACTTCTTAATATTGTACCCCTTTATCCCACTACGTGGCGTCTTCTCAATGACTATGAAACTTTCCTTTTCTTTCAGAATACGAGTCTCTCTACCAAATAACACCACCAAAGTCATGGCATGCATATATTGAGTTAAGTGCGAGTGATATACGATCTCGAGATGCAACATTTAATGATACAAGATATGTAACGAATTTGTCAACAGGCTCAAAGAGCAGCAGCCAAGCCACTTGTGTGGCAACACTTCTTCAGACTTTGCAGGCAAGACACTCAGGGCCAGCTTATACTCTGTGTGCAATGCATTCATACGACTTTTTGAGTCATCTCTTCTGCATCTCGAGATCTACACGGCCCAAGGTGTGCGGGCCACGGGTAGTTTCCGGCCGGTACCAAACAACCATGAAAAGTATCTCCACCTTGATCCATGGTTATGGTTCGCCGGTGGCATATATAAGATACCCCGAGAAGGACGGTTTTCTTTACGCCGTCTCCAAAAATTTTAACCATCACCAAGTGAGATACTAGTACTAAGCAATAAATAATGCGCCTGGAACTGCAGCTGGTTGGGGAGGACGACTTTCCGGAGTTAGTCACCGCTTTATGGGAAGCCTACGAGGAACCTCACCAGAAGTTCTTCCGCATATTCTGTCCTATTTTCAACAAAGACAGAGAAAAGAGTCTTGCGGATAGCATCAAGTTCTTCCAGGAGGAGTATAGGAACGAATTTCCCGTCGCTCAGTGGGTGAAGGTGGTTGATGCGGATGCGAATAACAAAATTGCCGGCGCAGCACTATGGAAAATCCACCAGAAAAACCCGTACGAGACGTATGATGAAGAAAAAGTCGTTGCAGACTGGTATCCAGAGGGCTCTATGGAGAGGATCATTGCGAATAAATACCTCCGAGATACGACTGCACCCCGTGCGAAGAAAGCGAGGAGACCCCATCTTTGTAAGTACCGGGTTGTCTTATATTTCCCGGGTAATAAGGCTAACTGTTTACTATCAGTCCTGAATATTGCCTTTACGATACCATCATATCGTAAGTACGGCGTGGGTTCTTTATTCCTTAAATGGGGTTTGGATAAGGCCGAAGAGTTGAATTTTGAATGCTGGCTAGATGCGACTCCTTATGGACGTCCCGTCTACGAGCGTCGGGGTTTCATCGTAACGGATGCTTGGAGTGTAGACTGTCCTATGCCCGAGGGTCTTTCGGAAGAAAAGCAGAAGGAATTCCAGGAAGCTCGAGAGCGGCTGTTGCCAGTAGAAAACGCTTGCATGTGGCGGCCAAGGGGTGGCATGTACATCGAAGGGGTTACTGAGAAGCCATGGGAAACGAATTAGCAGGATTGATCCCGTCCCTGCCGCTGGTTCAGAGTTAGAGCTTGTATATAGTCTCCCTTATATAGCGACTTGTAAATATTCAATTAACTATCGGATCCATGAAACACTGGCTGCGCCGAGGATATTAAGGGTGACATATAAGAACCAGTGGCGCAATCTGTCCATATTACTTTTCAGTATCATCCAGCTAATGATATCGGCCATGTCATTCCATGCTTCGTGGTAGAAGTAAGAGAGAAATGACCGCTGGCCCTTCGCTTAGGACGTTTGTGGATGTCGGGAACTTCCGCTCTCCAAAGTGTTATCGGGTGACTAATCAAAGTTATCAATCTCTTGGCATAAACCCTTGGCGTTTGACAGATAACCCGTTAACTGATTATCAAAAAGACGGAGCCAGAAGGGAAGACAAAACATTGAACTGGTTGAACGGCCTATTATTATCGCATTCGAAATGGCACGGAAGCTATCAGAGGCATATGTATCCCCTAATATCACCTCTATAAATCTCACCCAGCTACTCTCTCGGCTGGAAAGCAACATACTATCGCCTTCGGCGGACCTGAAGCCTCTGCTAAGATCGCAATATCATAGAGCTCGTGTTGGTGCTGTAAGGCATTCTACTCCTTCAATACACTTATTTTACTGAGATGATGGTGTGAAGATTACTGATATCCGCTTTAGAATATAGAATATGGCCGCAACTTATTACTCCAGCTTGAGCGAAACTCGGCAGATATAAAGCACCCCCAACGCAGACAAACGGTTCAATCGGACCTCTCACAGAAGAGACAACAGCTTAAGATACTTCGACAGAGATTAGACGATCTCAGCACCCAGGCGCATGCTCGCACAATGGCAGCGGCTAATACAACCACCACCACCTCCCCCTCCTCCGAATATATAGCTGACGCGAGCGTCTACTCGTCAGAAGATGAAGAAGACATCCTCCCCACGCCACAAGACAGCATCACGCCAGAAAACATATCTTCACAGGCCTCGGCAAGTTCCGCGAATATAAGAGATGAATCTAGACCGGTAGAAGGCCTGGACCAGTCAACTACATCAGAAGCAAGCCTGAGTTCCGTGATTCCCACGCCACCATCTTCCTCGTACGGTTCCACATCGACTCACAGCGAAGCACATGGTTCAAACATACTTCGCAACCGAAATGCAATACCAGCAACTCAAACGCCAACTGATACGGTCATCCGCCCTACTGAAGCCGCCAGATCAACAGGGGCACTTACAACTTCCGCATACCTGACAACATCAACACCCACGGGTCCCTTAAAGCCCGCCCCGAGCCCCAACCCTTATTTCCGCCCTCGAGATCCCTCCAGAAAAGAATTGGATCTCGATCCCGAAGCCTCCCTGGCCCAAGATCGCCAAGAACAGGAGTCACTAACGGATTCCTTGCTCACGCTTGCCCAACAGCTGAAGACCTCGACGCAGACGTTCAATTCGACTCTTGAGTCGGAAAAGTCGATTCTAGACCGTGCCGTGGAGGGACTAGATAGGAACACAACTGGTCTAGAGTCGGCGGGGCAGAAGATGAGTATGCTTCGACGGATGAGTGAAGGTAGAGGATGGTGGGGGAGGATGTTGATGTATTTATGGATATTCGGGCTGTGGATTGTGGCTATTATGATTGTATATGTTGGGCCCAAACTGAGGTTTTGAGGAAGTGGGATGTGCTTTTTGAGTGGGTTGTACTTTTGTAGGCGGAATCAACTATATACCCGTATTTTTGTTTGGACGAGGTTATGCTCTAGCGAGTTTATTATGAACTGATTCAACTATAAGATAACAAGATAATAATCAAACGAGTAAAGAAGTCATGTTTAACGTCATCGAATTGCTATCATTTTCTATATAAAAACTTCGCCAAAAACGAATAAGCGGTAGAGAGATGCGAGGAGACAGAGAAAAACACAAAGGTTCAAAAAAGAGAGAAAGACAAGGTGAAGAGAGGACAGAGAAGAGAACAAAGGAAGGAAAAGACAAGAGAATTATAGAATAGCATTTACGGCCATTGTTACCCTCCTGATTTCCGTACCGACATGGAGATAAGGGAAGAGAATTTGCATTTGAGAAATTGTACAGGTTTACCCCCACAGGCGAGAGAGATAAGGAGACACAGGATGAAAGTAGAAGGGGGGGAATACCTTTGAATGAAAGATGGAGGGAGAGGGCTGAGGGAAAACTTGAGGATATACCAAGGAAAACAGGAAAAAAAGTGACGGAACACTCGAAACAGAAAAAGAACAGAGCAAAAAGGGGGAAAAAAGAGAAAGCAATAGACGTGGAATCCGTAAAATATGCCGACCGATACTTTGATGAAGGTATGGTGTTGGGCATTGAGATCAGCGAGAGCTGACTGGTTGGTTAGTTAATTGGTGATGGTGAGGTTTTGTTGGTGGAGTAGCGAAGAAATGGATGGGCCCCTGAAGAAAGGGGAAGGAGAAGCAAGGGAGTAATCGGTGGAAGGAAAAAGAGGATATCCTTGCCTGCGTTGCAATGGACATATTAGTAGGAAATTAGTAATCCAAGAACTGAGGATGGGGGGGCATAGACTCAACGGTCAACGAGACGCCTGGGGTTTGATGGTAAAAACGAGGAAAAGCAGAATGAAAGACCGCAGAAGCCACGCAAAGCAGATTGGCGGGACGGGGGAATTGAAAAAGGCGGGAGACGTGTCGCGTTGGTTGCTGGGGATTTTTAGCAGGTTAATTATTGGGATATCAGATACACGTAAGATAAGAGAAAGAGAGAGACAACGACCCCGGTAGAGGTCAGGAAGCTGGGACTTCTTTTTTCTTTTTTTTTTTTTTTAAAAAAAAGAGAGAGAGATGCATTATATGAGACCGCAGAGTCGGAGATTCTCTTGTATGATGATGTCTAGATATATTGTTAGAAAGAGCTTCATCGATAGGGTTGAGCAGAGATAACATACCATTGACAGCAGCCATGACGAATCGGATCTGGGTGGTGTCAGTGGCACAGGTGAAGTGTGTGTAGATTTGTTTCTGCTCGGCCTGGTTTAATGAGACGAAGCGGTTGAGGATGTAGTCACAAGCAGCAGAGTAGTCGGCGCCACCTAGAGGGTTTTTGTGTCAGTAAACGAAATTGGACAACGGGCTTCGACAAAAACAGAGTGGAGACAACGCACCTTCATAGTCAGGGAAGTAGTTCTTCATCGGGCTGACAGGCAGTTTCTCCTTGAATCGGTCAATCTTGTTCAAGAACAAGATGATGGATGTGTTGATGAACCATCTCGAGTTGCAGATAGAGTCGAACAGGGTAAGAGCCTCCTGCATTCTGTTGACGGTTTCATCTTCGAAGAGGAGCTGGTCGTACTCTGAAATAGCGACAAGGAAGAGGATGGTGGTGACGTTCTCGAAGCAGTGAATCCACTTCTTACGCTCAGAACGCTGGCCACCGACGTCGAACATGCGATAGGTAAGGTCACCGATGATGAAGGTTGTTTCGGTGATACCAGTGGTCTTGACACGGGAGCGAAGGACGTCCTGGTCGTTAGGGAGATAGTCTGGGGCGGCAATTCGGCCAATGGAGTCAAAGTAGCTAGGTAATTTGGTGGTTAGTATTTTGATTCTCTCCCAAAGGAGGCAAAATCTAAGCTAAGAATGGGGGGGGGGCATGTAAGACATACTATCTGGCAGAATCGTTCAATTGGTACTCTCTTGATCGCTTGAAACACTCTTGAACGCCAGCATCTTTCCACAGGGCCTCGATAGCAGAACCAACCTCAGGAGGGAGAGAGTCACCCTCGATCTGAGCTGGCTGCATGAAGATGGTGTGTACGTGGTATTCAGCCCGTTGGTCATCGAGCGGAAGTTCCAGACTCTCCATGGCCTCGAGGATGACACGCATGGACTGGACGGTGTTGCTGAAGATGATTTCTTTAAACGACTCGCGTTCATCGCGAGAGTAGGATCCCTCGTGGATAAGTTTCATCTGTTTCAGGATGGTAGATTTTCCAGACTCTCCAGCACCTGTTGCGTGTGTTATGGCTCTGATCAGCAGCTGCACCATCACCAGAAGAAGCCAGCCAACGACAACTTACCAAGCAGAAGCATCTTGATTTCATTTCTCTGCATCAACTTGTCCCTCTTAAGCTGGTTTTCGATCTCCTCGTTTCTGGCCTTCCCCTCCTTATCCTCAGTACTCATTCCGCAACCCATTTTGGCGGTTTATCAAACAGGAACTCGATCAACAGTATGTAAATGCACAAATAGGATTGAAGATGGAGGATCTGCTGGATGGCTACAGTTAGAAAAGAGATGTCTTTCTAGCGGCTGAAATTTTTTTCCTTCCGTTCTCCCTTTGAGGATAACTAGCGAAGGCAGAAGGGAAGAGACAAAGACAGCGAGAGAGAAAAGAGAGAGAGAGAGAGAAGTCGAAGAGCGAGTCCGTATTCAAATAGGCTGGCCTGAGGTTCCAGCCCCCAAAACCAAGGGCAAGAAAGAGAAGAGAAGAGCGAGGGCTGAAGCGGGAGCAACACTGGCAAAAACGGAGCGAGAGAGCGTGTTCTGAGCAGGGACAGCACTCACATTATTATTATTATGCACTGCAGCGCGATATTAGTAGCTACCCGGCGATGCGAGGAGTGAGGGTTCTGCCTAAGACCGGACAAAAGGGGATGGTGGTTCGTGGCAAAGGGCAGAGAGAACACCCGGCGAAAAGAGGGTTAAAAAAAAAAAAAAAAAAAAAAAAAAAAAAAACGAACAAAGGAACCCCTGGGAGCAGCGGCCAGAACGGCGTCGACGGCGAGGGGAGAGGAACACGGATGCGACAGACGACAGACGACGGTCGGCCTTTTCTTCGAGACGGCTGGCTGTTGAGGTCGAGGTCGAGGTCGGAGGCGCTGGCGGGCGTCGCTGACGAGGACGGCGATGGGAGGTCGCTGTCGCTGTCGTCGTTGGTGTCGTCGTCGGTGTCGATGTCGATGTCGATGTCGATGTTGATGTTGATGTTGATGTTGTTGGGTTTGCTCGACGTGGAGTCTCGAAGCAAGCAAAAAAAAGGTCGAGGAGGAAAAAGAGGAAGAAAAGCGGAAAAAGCGACGAAGAAAAGAAAGTGAGCGGAACGGCGTATTTTTGCCCTTGCGCGGTGACGGGGGCGTGACAGTACGGCAGCCCGGCATCTTACGGCGCCATGCCCGATCGGGACAGCAGACCCGCCGCGCAAGGGCAGCGAAGTGCGCGCTTGGCCGGCTCGACCACCCCTAGCGGTATTGGCAATACGCTAGTCCGGGCGATACGTGACGCGGGTGCAGGCAAGGCGCTGTTGCTCGACTCCATTATTATTATTACATCTTGTTTACTTACAGTGACGGGCTTCCTTTTCGACGGCGGCGGCGGCGGCGGGCGACAGACGGACAGGCAGACGGCGGAGACGGTTGCGATGGAGCTGGCAGAGGGCAAGCCTCGCGATCGCCAGCCCCCTCACCCCCCCGTATCGATACTGTACAGCAGGAAGGACGGGTTGGAGATGCTTGTCAGCCCTGCTGGCCGGTGTGATTGGGCGTGAATGCGAGGATCACAGCCTCCAACTGCACCAGGAGAGCCTGGAAAGCCCATTCGCTGCTGGGTGGAGATCCTTCTGCGTCGTTGATACGGCTCATTCGCCAGCGAGGGGGGCTGCGGCCTTCAACCTTATCCTCTGGTCCTTGGATGACCTAGATGATAAACAGAGCACAGAGTGAGCCTACTACTACGGAGTACGTACATGAGAGTGGTTGATGCTAATGGGTATATCAGTATATCACAATATCAGTCCGCGTGCTCTGTAATAGTATCTCGGTCCACTCAGCAGTCCAGCCGGTAATTAACAATAATACAAACAGAAGATCAATCAACCAGCGTCAATCTCTCTGAGTGAACGACAGCAGCATGAACCCCTCACATGTACTCCATACACAGCACAGAACGCTGCAGCATCTCACGATCTCGTAGTGGTTCGGATCAGAGAATCCTGAAACACAGGTGCCACCAGCCCGTCTTGTCTGGTCTTCCCAGCATGCAAGCAGGCACCTCTCCCGGCTATCGAACTGCGTGCCAGCCTCGCCAGGCTAGAGGAGTCGAACTACCAGATAAAAATGTTATTATTGCTATTTTGCCCTGGGTTATCTCCTCATGCACGGGCTCTTTCTTATATTCCAATTTCTAAGCGATATTCGTCTCTCAGCCTGATGATACATTAGAGGTGTATACTCTGTACACACAGCAAACTTTCTTCCAACTCGACTCCTCCTGAACATGTTTCATCTCAACGCCTCGCCAGCCGGCCCTGCATGAACAGCATCAAGACAGCTCTTTTACCGGAATACACTCTCCGCATCACCCACCCCGACCGACCGTCACCCGACTTCCAACTTTTTTTTTCGACTAATTCTCCCTTCCCCCCCCCCCCCTTTTTTTTTTTCCGCGTCCTCTTCTGGGACCGCCAAAAAGTAATATCACGTGATGTACCCCTTAATATCACGTGAGTGACTATTTTTATACCTCGCCGGTCGATCACTTGCCGCATCGGGTCTAGCGGGTTACTTAATTTGCGCTCGAAGGAAGCGCCGCAGATGAAGACGAGAAGAAGAAGAAGAAGAAGCGGAAGAAGAAGAAAAAGTCATGAAAGAACAGTGACCGGAAGGATGGAGAAAGACAAGGCGATTTTCGTCTTTCCGACTTGCGCGACCCAGACCAATTTCCCAGAGGACCCGCAATGCTCACGTCCAGCGGGTGGGGTAGGTAGGGCCTTCGACATCCCTGCTGCAGACCTTCTCTACTTACGGGAATTGCTGACATGCTGAACGATACACTATCTCACATTTGCGCTACTTACTTACATAAATGGAGTAACCCGTCTCCATCATTATGATTTCATGCAGAAGACCAGCCTCAGATAACAGCTGCTCGCTCGTATTATATATATACAACAGAAAAGCAAAGGACGATAAAGCGTTAATCAACTCGCGCTCCAGACAGCCGCTTGCACAGCGACTATATTATAAGCAGGGCGCCCAATTATAGCGATACACCTGCATAAAACAGTCCACCAGCTTGACACAAGTGGGTTTATTACCTCCGCTGACAAGGAAGGTTTCATCGAACTTTTCTAGAACATTTTTCTTCCAAACCCCTTTCTTTTCCCCGAGTTCTTCGACGAGAGCAAGAAATAAAAACATAATATTCACCTTAACCGATCAAACCGCCCCCGACCTTCTCAACGACGCCGTATGGAGCCAATATCGTGGTTGGGAAAACTATTGATTTTTCGCAGCGTTGATCCGATTTACATCGCGTCTGGTGACGGGCAGCCACCCTTTATTTATTTTTCTCGCCGCTTGCTGGTTGATCTGCGCCTCTTTCATACTACTGGTGGTTAAGGGGGACCCTGTTCACATAAGTAAGTCGGTACCCAGTCTTGTACGGAGTACGGAGTAAGTCTTTTTTATTCTATCTATCACTTGGATCCCTTGGTGTGGATGGGGATAGATGCTCGGCTAGCGAGCATACCAAGCAAGTAAATAGTAGTAGGAGAGACAGGGCTGTGTTGATGATCAGTGTGACAGGACCATGGTTTTTCCAGGCGCTTTTCTCACCCCTTGCTTTCTCCGTATTCCATGGGTGCGCTTCCTGGGTCTCCTCCGCCGGGGTTCTTCGTTCTCCATTCTCTCCTAAGGTTCTCTTGCAGGTGGGTGGATGATGGATCATGTCTTGTCAGGAAATCCATTCTCTATCGAATTCTTGGTATTGAGTTCACTAGGCAAGGCTAGCCTATCAGTTTCACCGTGCCACAAGGGTCATCCTTTCAGTTATGCAAGAAGGGCCGTCATTCTTCTCGGTAGGCATCATATATACCCTTGAATATATCCATCTTCCCTGCGCATTACCGCCGCCGTCTCTCGAAATGACGATATCAATCTCTCTGGTCTTGATTCCACCTTTTAAAGCTGTCTTCTACCATTGAATACGCTTACATACGTGCAGAAATGCAAAGTCTTTCAAGCCACTTGTGCAGTAAACTACTCTACTCTCGCTACCCCTTCCGGATACTGCAGAGAATCGGCGACGACCAGTCAATTTTCAACTACTGTTTGACTCCTACCTAGTACTTCGTACTCACTTCGAATCTACATAACTAGTTGGTGGAAACTCATCGATATGGCGATCATCAGCCTCTTCCGTGACTGTTGGTGCAAGGAAGTGATATCCTCTTCGGCTAGACTATTAGGAAGAGCCACCGACTGGTCATATCTTCAATGGCAACCAGAGACGATCTGATGTGGCCCCCTATCATCCCTGAGCTACAGTGGCACCTCTGGGGTACATTGTTTGCCGGAACCCCCTCCAGTCCTGTGTGAGATGGCTGGTCGAGATCACAACTATATGTTTGACGTGCTCCATACTGCAAAAGGTCGACGTATGCCTAGGGATAGTGAATCCGGATCTTTAGATGGGATGCACGTCTCCCAGATCAAATTCACCATTGGCCGTTATTGACTGGTTCCCTTCTGGCAAAGAGGCAACCCCGTAACTATGTCGTACCAACTCTAATCTTAATACCGGCAGCCTTTCCGTAAGGATTGATGCCTTCCACTGGCGCTTTTATTTTGGCCTCAATATCGCCGTTTAAGTTGTGAGCCATAACCTTTTTGGAGACGTACCCTCAGGTCGACCCTTGACTATATATATGGCCCCTTCCCCTGAAAAAGCCTCATATGCTTGTATCGTAGTCTTTTGGTTTGTTTGTTTAACGTCTCGGGCGGCTCATTGAGGCTTGCGATGTTATATATATAGTAGCTGTGTAACTAGCGGATGCAACTGCTGATGGACGTAGGCGGCCAGGGTACCCAAATAACCGCTTTCAAAATAGTCATATGTTAATGGCCAGAGCTCTTGTACGATCCCGATAGTTGACATTATAGTTTTCCCGCCGGTATTCACTCATAGATTTCTCCTGGCAGGGTATCCTCCGTAGATATTCTGTTAGCGGTATTCAATCTAGCACGGGAAATTGCTATCATGGCTCCCGCTTAAGACAATCTTTATTTTTGATACTAGGTATCGTCGTATCATCTCAATTGGTTCATGTGGATGGTGGATTGATGGCGTATACTCTACCCTGCCGTATATCAGCCGTCTACCACGACCATCAACGAAGAAAACTATCCCTCTTCGACCAAATAATGACCCGAACAGCTCCCGCAAGATCGGCAGCCTGCATTAGCCCAGCAGGGTCCGGATAAGATAAGTAAATTGACCACCGTATTAGACATATTAATTAGGCCTTTCAACGTTCATGACATCATCTTGATGGTATCGAGCACGGAGCAGGGAAATCCGTGGGGGAGGCATCATCTTCAGCCACAACAGTAACACTTGCTAGAAGATCGTAACGGCATCCACTGGTAAAAGGATGGCAAGCAAACAAATCTCTGCTTGCTGCGTTGCAGGCCTGGCTGGACCAACACGACGAAAAAACCCGCCAGCCACCCGTTTTTGACGCCGCGGCTGTCGGCCTTGGCGCGCGCTCGTCTTCCCTCGTCAACTCCAGCGCATGAGACAAGAAAAACACCCACCTCCACCAACCTTCAATTTGACCAAGTACAACTCACTCCAAGGTTGATTCTGCGCCATCTCTGCTTTCAAGGGCTCTAGTGCGGTCGATCCGAGCCCGGGATATTTGCTAGTCTACCAATATTAGCCCCTACTGGCGGTCGCAGCGTTTGTTGTTTTTGTTACAGGGGTCCAAACAGAGGCCAGGGCCCGCCACTTTCTGTGCCGCTATCTGAAAAATGTTGACCGTAGAAAAGCAATGGATAAATGTCCAGCAAAAGACATTCACAAAATGGTGAGTCTATGGTTTAATAGTGTCTCTTATGGCCTACATTAGTGTCAGGGTTGCTAAACTGCTGCTTCTAGGTTAAACACAAAGCTCAAGATCCGGAACATCGCCATAAATGACCTGGTGGAGGACCTTTCAGATGGAGTCAGTATTTGGACGACGACGACGAGAGTTATCACTGTACTAATGTGTACGGCTCGACACAGGTTATCCTAATCCACATCCTCGAGATACTTGGGAACGAGTCGTTGGGCCGATATGCTTCAAAGCCAAAGCTTCGAGTACAAAAGTTCGAAAATGCGAATAAATGTCTCGACTTTATCAAGGGGAGGGGGATACAGATGACCAACATTGGCGCAGAAGACATCGTTGACGGAAACAGAAAGATAATACTCGGCCTAATATGGACCCTCATTCTGCGATTCACCATCAGCGATATCAACGAGGAGGGCATGACGGCCAAAGAGGGCTTATTGCTATGGTGTCAACGGAAAACAGCTTGTTATCCAGGTGTGGAAGTGCGGGATTTCTCCTCAAGCTGGAACGATGGGCTTGCGTTCTGCGCCCTGCTGGATATCCATAGACCCGACCTGATCGATTTCGACTCACTAGACAAGACCGAACATAGGAAGAACATGCAGCTGGCCTTTGACATTGCTGCAGAGGAGATTGGCATTCCGGACCTGCTTGACGTAGAGGACGTGTGCGATGTTGCAAAGCCAGACGAGCGATCCCTCATGACCTACATTGCGTATTGGTTCCATGCCTTTTCACAGCTTGAGAAGGTAGAAAATGCCGGCAGACGTGTCGAGAAGTTCGTTCAAAACATGCAAGGAGCTTGGGAGATGCAAAACTCCTTTGAGCGCCGGATGAGGGCTTTGCTGAAGAACATTGCTGCTCAGCAGGAGAAATGGCTTAACTCTACCTTTGAAGGCACATACGCAGATGCCAAAGAACAAGCCAGCGAGTTTGCCGCGTACAAAAAGAACCAGAAGCGCGAATGGGTCGCTGAGAAGTCTGACCTTGCTGCCCTGCTGGGGAATATCAAGACGAAGCTGAGCACCTACCGACTGCGGGCCTATGATCCACCACCAGAACTCAGGCTAGAGGTCTTAGATGAAGAATGGGCTAGTTTAACCACCTATGAGCACAAGCGAAGCCAGTTGATCAATGAAACTATCCGTGATATCAAAAATGCCCTTCGGCGATCGTTTGCGGACAAGGCTAATGATTTCGCCCTAACCTTGAACACGCTTTCGCTGGCGATCTCGGGTCTCGAAGGAGACGTTGAAGATCAGTTAACGCACGTTCGACGGCTGAGCGATAACCTACCGCCCTTAGACGCATTCCTAGAAACAATAGAGGACCTTGACGAACAGTGCGCAGAAGCTAACATTGAAGAGAATGACTTTACCACCTACACCTTTGAAGAGCTCTCCTATGAACTGAGCCTTGTCAAATCCAGTGTAGCGAAGAAGCTAGCATTCTTGGAAAACCAGATGGTTGCGCGGAACATGACCAATCTAACCCCCATACAGCTTGAAGAATTCGAGTCTGTATTCAGACATTTTGACCGGGATTCGACAAACACTCTGCATGAGATAGAATTCTCGGCTGCATTAGCCAGTTTGGGTTTGGTATACGATGAAGACGAGATGCACGAGGTGTTCGTGGAGACCTGTGGCCCGAACCGTCTAGAGAGAAACGCTGGCGTCAGCTTTGAACAGTTCATTCGATTCATGGTCAGCGTCACTGAGACAACACACGCTGAACAGGTCTTCAGAGTTTCAAGGAGTAGCGGACGGGAAGGTAATAACATCTTTGAATTTTGCCCATTCTCCTGGGAGCTGTTTTATTCCCAACTACCCCCTTACAACTTGTGTATGTGTCAGTCAGCTAATTACACTTACCACAGCCATATGTTACCGAGCTTGATCTTCGGCACTCCCTCATACCGGATGAACTTATCGAGAACCTAGTAGAGTCAATGCCCAAGCACACGGGGCCTGACCTCCTGGAGGACAGGGATGTCGCGAAGTACGACTACATGACCTTTATGGAGCACATGATGAACAATGGGGGCCGTGGTAATGATGTTGGAGCCAACCACACCGAATAATTAACCCGAAAGAAAGAAGAACTGCATTCTTATCCCCGAATTAGCCTTTTGTTATATCCTCTAACCCTTGACTTCAAGGCACAAAGAAATCAGGCCAGCATGCCCGGCAGGCGGAAAGTCATTCGGCCGTATGGAGCGGGCGGCGGTGGCATCACGCGCATATGCATGTACGCATGCATGGCCTTTGGCTGGTTCTTTTTCTCTTCTTGTGGATGCCTTGATAGCTGCTGCCTTCTACCCCCTTTTTCTTATTCTTCTTCTCTTATAGGCAACGGTTCTTTTCGCCATCGGCAGGAGTGATTGTTTATCATTTTATTGCATCGTGCATTGAAGATACCATGGTCAGGAGAGGACAGGTTAGGTTAACATATATGTTTTTTTTTTTTTTTTTTTTTATCTTTCAGAGCAAAGTAATTAGTGTAGTTAGCAAATAGTAATTAATAGCTTATCAACGTCCGCTGTAGTATAGTTGATATTCGATATTCAGTAATCTTACAGTCTCACCAATCGTAAATAAAGCAGGCAGAAATGAGGATTTTAATAACTAGAGGAAGAAAGAGAAATATCCAATACTATCTATGCACTCCCCTGGGCTAGGAAGTTCGCTGGAATAGAAGCTGAGATGTAAAGCCACCAAAACCCAAGGAACGAAAGAAGGGAACGTTACCCCCGAAGCCCATGGTCCCCTTGACCAGTGTAGTACGATTTCCATTTTCATGGTTGGTTGGTTGGTCGGTTGGTTGAAGGAGACCACAGCGTAGATGAACCCGCCTCAAAGTACACCAAGCGAATGGAAAATGTATGACCGTAGCACAAAAAGCAAAATCACGGAAGACGAGCAATCAGAGGTGTGACGGCAGAAGAATAGAGCAGGTAAATAAATAAATGAATAATCCCTCGGGAGAGATGCGAATGATATAAATAGATAGAAGAATATAGAAGAATAATTCCCCGCTGGCAGGGGGATATCTGGTCTGCCTTAACCAGGGCAGAGACAGGAGAAGTAGAAGCGAAGTACATCGAGAAAAAAGAACAAAAGCTATGCTTTAAGATGAAGAAGAGAAAAGGATGGAAAGAAACCAAGAAAGAAAAAAGAAAGAAGGAAAGAAAGGAAATCGAACTGTTGTAAGGAGTGTGAGGGTTGTCTGAATGGGTTGATTGAACAGATGAAATCTCCCCCTTTCTAGCTGTAAGGCGGTTATCCATCATATAGAAAGAAGAAAAGGAGCCAGATCCGTAATTATAAGAATGGGAATTGAGAATGAGAATACATAGAAGATGGCAAACCAAACAGAGACCCGGTAACGACAGGGACGAAAACTGATGCAAGGGGGGGAAATGGGGTATACATGCTATCCGTTTTTATAGTGTGCAGAAAAAGAAGAGAGAAAAATGAAAAATAAAAAATAGCAGGGATGAGATGCTCAATGGGGTGCGCAGAGGGATGGGTTGATGAGTAGTTTTGATAGAAGCAGTTGTAAAAGGAACTTGATAGGACCCGGCCAGGGACGGTGGTTTGTCTTGACTCCCCTTCCCTTACTCTTTGCTTTGCTTGTTTCGAAAGTCCATTCTGGCATGGCTATATTATTTTCCCGGTGGCCCAGGTCGATGTTGATTACTCGAAACAAAGAGCTGTTGTTGAAATGCGTAGCGAGAGTACCAGATGCTGGTTAAAAGTTGTAGATCGAGTCCGGATTATGCGGTTCCTTACTATGGAAGAGGCCAAAGGGGAAAAATAAAGGTAACGAGAAGGGAAACGATAAAAGGAATCAT